GGCAGCCGTGCCCCTTCTGTGTGCTCTTCAGCATCGGCCTCCCGGGAGGAGCTTCTCTTAGTGCCTGTGCGGGCATGCTGTGGTGTGCCTTTCCCTCGCCCGCTGCCGCGTCCAAGTCTGGCCGGGAGGGAAAGGGGACGTGCAAAGGTAGCCCAACTCAGAGCTGTTTTGGTTAATGTGCTCTGCCCTTGCTGCTCAAGGACAGCTTATTTTGGTCAGACCGAAGGTCCGCGTGTTCACACTCTGTGTTTGTCAGAGGCCAATGCTAGATGCTAAGGCAGTGGTAGCAAATGTCCAGTCTCCAAGCAGTTTTACAGCTTGGCTTTGTTTTAAGCCGTTGGTGATGTCCGTGTTGAATAGTGCTGTATGTCCATTTACTTGGAGAACTTTAACATGCACAGCCCAGATGCTGTCTTACACCTTCTCGCTCCTGCTTTGGAAGCAAGGCCTTTCTCTCTTCCCAGTGGATTCTGGTATCTTCTTGTTGCCACAGAGAAATGGGAACTGTTCTCCCTTTTGTGCTCCTCCTGACTCGAGCCCCTTTCCTACCGCTGTTAAGTTAAGGGAAGATGTGCCTCTCCTCTCCCCCCTGCTCTGAGTGATCAGGCTGCCAATGTGAGAGCAGCGCACGCAGATGATTCATCAGCGCTTGTGTGTTGAGGACTGTGTCCTGTGGATCAGATGGGTTGTCCTCATGGCTGGAGAAAGCTTATGGGATATATGTCGACCTCATAGTAATCCTGGTCTAAGTATTGAATCGGAGGACTGGGATATTGGCCAGAAGAAAGAAACGCTGGAGTGTGTGCATGAAAGGTTATGGTGAAAAGTTTATGAAAGCAAGCCTTCATTCATGTGTTATTGGCATTTGCACTTCATGGTGAATTAGTATTCCTTTTTCTCATGGTATCAAAGTGAGGGGCGGGGAAAGAGAGGGGAGGTAAGTTCGACGTGGTTTTATCTAAGGCTGTATTTTGGGGGGGAGGCAGGGAAAAGGGACAAAGCTCCTTGAGGAGAGTTGGCTATTTTCCTGTTCTGACAATTTGCTAGATGTGTGCTATTAGTAGAGGAAAAGTCCATCTAAGCAGAGTCCCTGCAAACTTTCTGAGTGTGTTTTTTTTTTTGTTTGGTTGGTTGGGTTTTTTTGAAAGAAATACTCCTGTGCTCAGTGCAAGCGTAAAGCTGAACCTGTTTTTGCAGGGATTGCCCTGGCCTGTTAAGCTGTTTACTTGGAGTGATGGTCCAGAGGCACCAGTAGGTGGTGGGCAGCGGGTTATTGGGAGTGTGCTGCTGTGGGGACTGAGAAGTCTCGTGATGGCAAGGTGACAGGGTGCACAGGAGGTCTCTGGAACAAGGACAGAGCTTCGTGGGCATTTCTGGGGCTCCAAAGACCTACATCAGCCCCAGTTACTCAGTAGGATGACGGCCATTTTTAATTGGCAGGTCCGCCTTGTCCTGTCAGGACAGGTGATATTAAGCTGGGTCTTCAGCCCTTCCTGAGGTTCAGATGATATTACCAAACCTAACCAAAAAAAGAGAGGTGGTTGAATTTTTTGGGCTAGTTCGTCACTTTTTCTTTTGAGAAAATGTTCTGATCTGTTAAGTTGAAAGCTTACCATGGCATCTTACCATCTGTTTCTTTCTTTTTCAGGGTTGGTTAAAAACTTACGGCTACTTACTTCCATCTGACAGCCAAATGTCTGCCTTGCAGTCGGGGAAAGCTGTGCAGTCTGCAGTGGCCACTATGCAACAGTTTTATGGGATCCCAGTAACAGGAGTTTTGGACCAGACAACTATTGAGTAAGATTAATGTAGGCTAATTTTGTCTTTCCCTTTCATAATGCATTGTCGTATTACCTGGGTAATTACTCCAGCTACAAGAAGTCCTCAAAAGGGATAGATTCAACTGACTCAGCCAAAGAAGTCTTGGTTATGAAAAGGTGTCCTTAACGAAAACATGTGGGCAACTCCACCTTTTCTTTTTGCCAACAGTACTGTTTGTGAGTGTGAGGAGAATCTCTCGTTAAATGTTGTTATTTGTACATAGATCCCCGTTGCTGTCGCACAGGCAAAGCGTGAATCCTGTGAGCTTCTGCAAGCGGAGAACATCAAGGGTTTAATTTATTTCCATCTCTGTCTGGATTTAGGTGAAAATCTGGCTCCAGAAATGGCTTCTAATGTATTTCTTAATTAAGTGGAGTTGTGGATCTTCATAGATGTTATTTGTGGAGACCTATAGTTCCGAGTTGAAGTGAGTTGTTGTAGTCTGATGATGATAGTCAAGACTACTTAGCTGTCGATAGCTGTCATTTGTTGGACATCAGATGTTCTCGGCTCTATGTTGACCATGTGTTATTTGTTGTTTGTGATTGGTGTCTTGATAGCACAGAAGCATTGGTCTAAATCATCTAGGCTGGAGGGACTTCGTTCTTTGAAGGCTGTTGCCTTTAGTCTGCTCTTCAGTGTGTACTGCAAAGTGTGGTGTGGAAGGGGTGTTCTGGTGTGGAAGGGGTGTTTGTTGCTGCTACCTGACTGGCTTCCTGTCGTCTGATTGCCTGGATGTTGTGTATTGGCTGAATCTGTCTGCTGTTGGTCTGGGCTAGGGGAGCATCTGTTGACTATAGCAGAAGGGAGATAAGGTCTTACTAATGCTTTCTGGGGGAAAGAAGCATCTCATGGTAAGCAAAAAAAGAAGGCACAAATAATAGAACTTGCTTAGGCCCTGCCTGAGAGTTTTCCCTTGACCTTTTCTTATTGCATTAGCAGACCCTTTCAGAGTGTGCTCTGCCTAGTTCTTCCTCTCTCCTGTTCTGGCACTCTGCTGGCAAAAGGGACACAGTAGCACAGAAGAAGGGGGCACATGGTAACCAAATAGTGTGAAGAACAAAAGGATTTGGTTGTATGCCTTCCAGACTACAAGAAGAGGGAGAAACAGAAGAAATTAATGAATTAGGCAGGACGGGATCATCCTGGACTGGGAGTGCTTCTCCAGTGAATGTAACATTCTCTCCTTTAGCTCAAGGAAAAGCCACTTGTTCTCCATTGAGGGATAGAGAAAATCCTGATTGTTTGCTTTCAAATAAGTTGAAAATGAAATCCTTTTAAAAGGTGGGGATTTTCCATCCGAGAGCTCTTTGCCATTAATAACAGTTTGTAAGTGAATGCTGAAGCAGGGCCAGAGAGCAAGATTGTGTATGTGCAATTGGTGTGTAGAAGCCTGCAGTTGGGCTGCTTATAAGTTGGTACAGGGTGGGAGAAGAAGAGACTATGATATTGGGGTACTAGTTTGGAAAGTTAGGGAGCTGCTTCTGCTGCCATGTGGGTGACAGGGGAAGGGAGCAAACTGCATGTGGGAGTCCCTGCTTTAGTAAGTAAGAGTATTTTTCTGGAGGAAAGGAAGGTGTTGCCCATGTTTTACTGAGTTAATATATGGGAAGGGGTTGATTGGTGCATGAACACCCAAAGACTGATGGGTGAGAAACCTAGATGGTTCCCTTTTCTGAAACTCGAGCCCCCAAAAGCTTGAAACCTCAGTTGCAACCAAACGCGGGTGTGCTTTTCAGGCATGTTCAGTTGCTCTGCCTCCATCTGTCCTGAATCAGTAGGTCCATACGTTTATGGCACGGTGGAGCTGGTGTACCTACCTAGAAACTACATGGAAGGAAAAATGGGTCCTAATTGCTGTTAGCAGGGAGCCTGTATTTTGAGTTGGAGGGGCATGTCTGGCTGGGCCTTGTTGGGCTGTCACTTCCTCAGACCTGGTTGTGGAAGCTGAGCAAAAGGAGAAGAGCTGGCAAGGCAGGCAGGCTGAGAGCTCTGAGTTACTCAGGTGTTTGCTAAGCTGTTATTTCAGTCTGTGTTACGAGTTTTGAGATTGCAGTTATGAATTTTTCTCACTTCTGTCAGTGTCATAAGCTCTGTCCCTTTAAGGTGACTTTAGAATCAGAGTGCAAAGTTATTATTTTCTATGGTTTCTTTGTTAGGCAACAAATTCTGCATATTCTGTTTACACTTATTATGGAAGCCTAAAGTTTTTCATATCCTTCCCCACACACCCCCAAATCCCGAGCTTGTTCTTTCCTCCAAGAGTGGTACCCAAGCGTGTGAAAGCTACCATGCAGGCGCTGCCAGTGGGAGTGGGAAATGGGAAGGAACAACACCATTGGTGTTGCTTACTGGTACCTGAAAGGAAGATGGGGTGGGGATCCGTTTAGCAGAGGGGCTGCTTGAGGTAGCAGGTTCAGGATATGTAGTTTCCTCTAAGGAGAGCTGGGAGAATACATAAAATGACCTCCTCATACCCTGCAATTGACAGTGCCTCTGTCTGCACCTTTGTGTCTGCAGCTGGTGGGTTGAATTGTAATTTTGCTCAGTAGCTAGGCAAGTATATAGGCCTGGGAGCATGCTGGGAGAGAAGGCATGCTGGCATCTAACAAAAGTGGTGATTATTGTGTTTGTCCTAATCAGTCACATGGCCCTGGAGGGAACCAAGAAATAGTCTTACTTGTGTTGGAAGTGTCTTGTGTGTGTTGTGCTTTGTCTTGAGCCTGTTATGTAGGTCCCTCACCCTGGGATGCACGGAACAGCTGTTCAATAGCAGGCGATTGAGAGTGACAGCTTCCTCTATTTAGGAGAGTCTTGTGTATGGCTTGGAGCCTGAACTGGAGAAAGCAACTGTATCTGGACAAGAGCTGGATGTCACTGCTTTTGGAAATCACCTGTTTTCTGCATGCCAAGCAGCTGGAGGAATGCAGTAGTCTATGTGTAAACACTGCCACATATGAATTTTGATGATCCAGTGTTATTTGTGCCCCCATTTAAAAAAAAAAAAAAAGGGCAGGGGGAGAGGGGAAGCAACCATAAGTATCTGAATCCTGCTTCAAGTAATTGTCTTATGTTGTTGTTTCTGATGTGATGTGTTTTTATAAATCCCCTGGAACACAGAAAGGGTTATCCAGACTGCTCAGTAGAGAATGGCTGTCAAAAAGCTCAGCTAAAGAAGATCAACGGCAGCAAGCTACAGCTTTGTGATTATTTTGCCATAGATCTGCCCTGCTGAGAAAAGAAGAGATGGCTGGACTTGTACCCAGGCCCATGTGATTAGACTAGGGCCCATATGTCTAGGAAGTAAGTTGAATCAGGGAACTGATCCAGATAAACATTCTCAGCTTGACGTTAGCACAGGCTGTTGACAACTTGGGTACTGCCTAGCTCTAACCAGATAGTTGGGCTTTTTTACTAGGTCTGTTTCAGAAAGTGTGTACCTGAGCTCTGGAACAAACTGTGGTAGAATATGGGGGTTCAGACAGGCCTAAGTGTAATGGGGTTGAAAGAGGAGTTAGGCAGCCGTGCGTAGCATAAATCGATTGGCAGCTCTGCAAATGCTGATATCTTGGAAGCTTTGGCTCAAGAAGCCCTTAAAGCCCAGGGTGCCGGTATTGCAGCTTGCCTCTGGAACAACCTATGCCCTGCCCTCTGACCGTATGTTGTGATGGAGCTGGCACAGGGGCAGCGAATTTGACTGTCTTCGGGGGAATTAACTTTTGATCGGGTGTCTGTGCAGTTCTGATTGGCTTTGACAGCATGGGACTAATCTGTGTGGGGGCGGATTTCCTGCAGCCTGCTCGGCATAGGGCAGGTGTTGGGAAGGGGCAGCCGGTGTTCACACATAAAACAAATATTGAGGTGTGAGGGACTTGGCGATGTATTGCTGGTGTGTCAGCATAGCTAGCACTGTCCTGGAAAGTCGTGGTGACTTGTCCTACACATTCCATGTTAGTTTCGTAGCACTCCCCTGTTACCTTTTTGTCTTCTAGATGATACTAGTAAAAATAAAACAGAAGGTCATTTTCTGACTGTAATCAGGGCCTGATGATGGTGGTGATCAGAGTACTGGAGTTCTCATGAAGCTCAAGAGATGAAAACCTAATTCTCAGTATGGTTTGTGTAAGGTTATGCTAAAAACTCTGTACCATATCATATGACTGGAATTTTTAAAAAAAATACTCAGGGAATATCTAGGAGAATACAGGCTACCGGAAGCCTAACATCTCTCTAGCACAGTGGTTGAAGCAATGCAAAAGAACACAAAGGACACTTGGAAAAACACAGTGTATTGAGGTTGAATTAATATGGCTTTTCTAAAAGCAAACCTTAGATATACCGCTTTTCTTTGAAGGTGGCAGCAGTTGTGTGGGCAAGACAGATCTGATTTCCACAGGTTGCTTAGATTTCTGAAGGACATACCATACTGATAAATGTAAGGTAATGTAAGCGGGGAAGATCTGTGCTAGCTTTATATACACAGCTTGGGTTCTTGTCAGGTACAGTACAATATGTATGACGACTCTCATTTGCTCAGTTCTTGGTGGGGAGAAGATGACAGATGACTGCACTGAAATTGGTAAGCACCTGTAGTTTTTACATATAGGAAGTGGACTAAGGAAAGGTTGCTGCTTCGCTGCCTGAACTGGGAGCAGGTATGTGTGCTGTGAAAGAATGTTCTTGTGAGCCTGTACAAGGCAAAGTGTCTGTCTATTTGTTTTTTATTTAAAAGGTGTCCCAGAAAGAAGTCTTGTAAACCATCTACTGGTGATGGGAAGACACTCCCTTCCTGAAGGCGTGGGGCTAATATTTTTGATAAATAAGACGTACATTGTTTAGGCTCAAGCATGTGGGCACATATGGACTACTTGCCATTGGCTGGCTGCAGCTGATGGGAGGAATGTCTGCATTTGGAGGCTGAAAGTTGTCCCCCAGGTGGCCAGGGATGTGGGGGAAGCCCTGCTAAGGAGAGGGGAAAGAATTTGGTGTCCTGTGTGAGAAATCTGCCAGGACTGGCTACAATGCTCTTCTCATGTGTGACCAGGCAGTGGCATGTTTCTGCATCCAGTGTCCTGCAATGTGTTCTTAAGGCATTGTGTCACATTGGACACTTGCCTTTGCCATCAGGGTAAGTGGATCAAATGCATGAAATGCCTGAAGAGTACCAGTGGCAATGTCCCCAGCAGCAGTCCAAGCAGGAGGCTGAGGGCAGAGCCAGTGTGCTTGGGAGGCGGTGGCCAGAGACTGCTTGCGTTATTCCTGGGCTCTGGTCTCCTGTCCAGGGCTGCACTGCAAAATCCTAAAGAATGTAGCTGGGACAGAAAGTTGGCTATGCTGGGACCTTTGGAGACCAGTACCTGTAGTTCCTCTGTTTCTGTCCCTGTCTCCTTTTTCCCCTGCTGCATGCAGTGATGGGCAGATTCGTTCCTCCACAAGCCACTTCTGACTTCTCTGGAGTGTACCCACACCAGCAAGAAGGATAGTATTCTGGGGTACAGTCTATTTCTCCTCATCAGAGAATCTTTTAGGTTGGAAGGGACTTCTTGATCATCTACTCCAACCCCCTGCTCAAACAGGAACAGCTAGAGCAGGTTGCCCAGGACCATGTCCAGTAGGGTTTTGAATACCTCCAAGGATGGAGACTCTACTACTTCTCTGGGCAACCTGTGCCAGTGTTTGACCACCCTCGAGCTGGTGCAAGAAATAAGCAAAAGTTCTGTTAAAGCTGGAGGTAAAGAAGATAGGGGAGGAGACCTGACTTCTCTGATAATAGTGCATGGATCCCCCTGCAAGGGACAGCATCCTTTGCTCTTCCAGTTCACCTGGCCACCTGACCAAACACTTCAGAGGCAAGTGTTTCCTACATCGTGAGTGACATCAAAAGAGTTAAGGGTTATGGAGAGGACTTAACAGAATTTGGTGACTGTGACCCACAGATTGGAGTGATCCGTTCTGGTCGTTACAGGTGAAAGCCTTAGTTGTTATCTGGGAGGGTTGTGTTTGCACTTGTTCAATCTTATCTAGTGAGTTATGAGTTGGAGTTTTTTTTACTGGCACAGGGGCAGTTTAACAAATGGAGAGTGGATAGAGTAGGTGATAGGAGAATTTGATCCCAGTGCACACGCAATTTTGATCTGGGTCTCTTTTGTGGCATTATCATTATTAAGCTCTTGTCAAGCATAAGGACTACCTGATCTGGTATCTGTGTTTCCAAAAGGAAAAGTGAATTCTTTTTGGTGTGCTGAGGAGTGTGGATTGCCAGCAGAGGTGGGGTGTACAGCTCTGTGCAAAGAGGGTAAACCCAAGAGAGGGAAGACTGAGCCCTTCTTGGTGTCTGCACTGGCCATCCCTCAGAGGTCTTCCAGTCACCCCCTGAGTTCTTTGGAATCTCTTTTCCAAACTCTTTGTTAGCTTGCTTTTTCTTTCCTTCCCTTCCAGGTGGATGAAGAAGCCTCGATGTGGAGTTCCGGATCATCCCCACCTACGCCACAGCCGGAGGAAAAAGCGGTATGCCCTAACTGGACAAAAGTGGAGGCAGAAGCATATAACCTACAGGTATAGCACCCTCCCTGCCCCTTTTTGTTTGGGGAAAAAAATGTTCTGGACTTGTTTGGTATGCAAATTTTGTAAGTACTTTTAGAAACTGGATTTTCCCTGTAATGCCTAGTTGAGGCTTTCGTTCTCAGAACATGGTGGAGGGGAATACTTTCAGAGCACTGGAGTAACTGAAGAGTCTATTCTCAATTAGAAAATAACGGATTAGTAAAGAAGCCTAAATCCCAGCCATCAGTTGTGGCAGGAAAATCCTAGTAAGCCCCTTTCTGTTCCCGTAGAAATCTAAGGCTCTACCCCTTAGATCATGTGTCCTCTTTAACAAACCATTAAAGCAGAAGGAACATCATTGTGTAAAGGCATGATCCTTTCTCTCTCTACTGATTTGCAACATTTTATTGAATATTTATTTTTGCAGAGGTTTTACTTTTGCTCATGTAGTAGAACTCATTGCTTTTGTCCAGACTTAGGCCTGCTGAGGCAATATACTGAAATGGGCTACAAGTGTCAAATGAGTGTTACGTAGTGATGATTTTTTCCCAGAGATGTGTTTTGTTTGAGCCATTTAGGCCCTTAGCTTTTGAAATGCAATTGCCAAATGATGCCAATGGCCTTCTGACAGTAAGAACGTCACTTCAAAATGAAATTAAACCCCCCTCGAGTTGAAAGTATAGCCTTTTAACTTTTTTGGAGGCGGAAAGGAGGTTGCAGAGGAATAAAAATTAGGAATGTAGACATTAAGGAGAAGATATGGGTGAGCGAGGCTAAGACAGAAAGAAAATCTGTGGTGAAGAGATAGAAATATGAGTGACCATCATGGGGAAGGTGCCAGAATGTGTAGGAAGAGATATGATGGTGTGAAGGGAAAGA